ATGTTCATCCATTATACTCCACATAATTCTCCACACGCCTAAAATCATGATATTCATTTTACTTTCCACCATAAGGATATGTTCTTAATCAACATTATTACTCATATACATATACATGTATATAATATTCTCTACAATTCAACACAACTTCTCTCACACACAATTCATCACAATGACAATATTTGCATCAACAGGTCTTAAACATCTAACAATTTCAAACAAGTTAATTTGACTAATAATTAATTAACATATAATTATACACACTAATTTTTTCTAATTACCTCAAACCTTTGAGAGGTTAAAGGTTTACCTCTCAAAACAAAAACTTCCAAAGCTCTCTAAATAGCTTGAATGATGCCAAATTAGTTAGTCTACAATTCCAAGACAAGGGAAAATCATTAGTATCCTCATTTAAATAATTTCTATTACTAACTCATCCTTCCAACTCACACAAGGACACAATCTTCCATTTTTCAATATACCCATTGACTTTATTAGAGTTCCTTAACTCACATTACCATTAATAAGCCATTAAACCTCCATTAATGACATTTTAACTCATCCAACCACTATAATTAATGCTAAATTCAGATATTAATGGCCCTTGCCAACTAATTACTCACAAAACCATCAAAGGGTTCAGACCCATAGCTCATATAAACTAAAATTATTATTTCAACTGAAACCTTAACTCTCAAACTAGAGAAAATGGAAGAAAAAGGGAGGAAAGGAGTTTAGAAACCTTACCTTATGTATTCTCTAGCTCCAAATTACTGCCAAACCTCCAATGTATTAAGCCCTAGTAAAGAAATTTCATTTGCTCTTCATTTTTTCCCTTTTTTCCTTCTGGTTTTCTATTTGATTCGTGACCAATTTATCAGAAATTTTGACCATACACCATGGCATACGTAGCACACACTGCTGCCTATGGCACAGAGAGGTCCCTCCTTTACTAATTAACACACATATACAACGATGAATAAGCCATATGCCATAATAGATGGCACAAAACCATTATCTTCAAATCTTCTTCCTTTTTCATATTCAAGTGACCCAACTTTACTTTGGACCCAAATTTAGAACTAAAATCACAACCAAACATACTTATTAGACCCCTATAATCACACACCACATCAATATACTTAATTACCCTAATTAGGTTTAATCAAGTTTAAATTCTAAGAATGTTATACACATGCTCATGATTACATAAAAATACCCTAGAGTTGGTAAATATACATATACTAAACCCAAAAAGGGCTGAATAGGCCAAATGGATGTCAACTCACACCAAGCTAGGCTTCTAATACTTCCCCAATTGAACTATTTCCTATAAAGACATTAATCATGAGGAGTGAGACTTAAAAGCCTTAATAATGAAAAATTAGTATGCAATTATGCATGTAATGCAACTTATCATGCGATTACTAAGTGGGACAAATAAGATGATATCTAAATAATAGATATCCAAACAAAAACCAAACAAATCATTTTTTAGTATGACAACACCTTATATCTCTCCTAACTTTGTGGTTAGAACTAAATCAGCCAATCAAAGGTGGGTTGCTCTAAGCTTAATATCCACTCATTGGGTCTAATAAGGGCTCACCATATGATAGAAGTCAATTTCAAACAAAATAATTAGACAACACATATTTTCCAAACAATCTAAACATATCTTGCTTTCAAATTAAAGGACAAAAACTTAACCAAACAATTTATGTATATCTAAACACGAATCATAATTTAACAAAAATATTTATGTGTGCGCGCGCGCGCATGTAATAGTCATCCTACTTGGCAATTATTTTTCGAACAATAGAAACATGTTTTTCTCAACACTTTTACTTCCAAACAAACAAACACATATAACAAATCACAAAATACATGCAATCACATATTAATAGTGGTTACTTTGATTCCTTGAAATTAAAGCTCCTTGTATAAGAGCACCTTCACCCTCCTCAGTGTTTCTACCGTAATTTACTTACCATACAATATTAATTATAGTTAATAAAGTGATAATTAATACTAATCAAAGTGTTAGCACACTAATCACAACCTTATCCTAAGGTTAGGTTAATTAATATAATTAATCCAAAGTTGTTACCACTATTTAAAACTTGAATATACTCATAATCATCCTCATTATATCTCCTAATCACTTATTTAACCTCTACATAACCCAAATCATTTTTTAATCAACCAAATAACTTAGGGCTTTTGGATTCCAACCATTCAATACCATAAATAACCTCAAAACAACCTAAATCATACTTATTTAACCTCAAAACTACTATTTGATTCAAACCCAAGGGCTGGGTATCCATATAAAATGTGACCCTAGCTTTAATCACAATAAAAAAGAGCTAAAGAAGAGAAATAGAAGCTAGAGATGAGGTCAGATTTGTTACCTTGAGTGCTTAAAGTCTCAAACTCGTGTACAATCAATGTTAGCTACCAAACCCTAGTAGAGAATTCAATTTTCACTCAACCCTAATTGTTTATCTCCTCGTCTTTTTGATTTTTCATACAACCATTAAGTACATATTCTATGTCATGTGTTATGGTGTATACATCAAGCACCACGGCGTGCAGCACAAAAATGTTACACATAATTAAACTCCATTATTTGGACCCAATCTAACCCAATATCTATTTTGAACCCTATTTAACATCCATATATCATGCTAGGCCCAATTTAAACCATATCACACACTAAACATATGATTAACCTCAAACAACCTCAATTACAAACTTATTCTCTAATGAAACCTTAAAATACTATCAATTCTCAATTAAAATTCCTCAATAAACCACAATCCCACAGTAAGTTAAATATCCAAAAACTGAGGATTTTACAGCCCACGCTTGAATTATCTAAAGTGTCAGTTTGAAGTATACCTTAGAGTAATTCATGTGTAACACCCTAGTGATCTATATTTGAATGGATTCCAACACTTAGTTTTTTTTTAAGCTTGACTTAAAGAGCCTTAAGCCATAAGAAGCTATTTCAATCTCGACTTAGAAGTGACTTAAGTGTATTTTGACTTGCAAAGAGCACATTTCCTATCAATGCTTGATTTAGTGTCTACCCATGTATGTTCAAGCTCACAATAAAAACAAGAAGCTTCTGAACTCTAATACATGCTTGAACTATAATAGCCTTATGCTTGAACTAGATTGAAGTAAACCTGACCCTTGTGCATGAAGCTAATCCACATGTATTCCCTTACTCATCCATATGTGAGTCATACTCTGATAAGCATTTAATGCACTTTTATAGAAAAAGGTGCTTTTTCTGATGAGCTTCACTTCTACACTTCTCCAATGTCTATTTCACTTTCCTTGAGAGTTTTTGATGTCTCTTTTAATGGCAAACTATATATATGATGTCATTTAATTGAGTGGGTAACAATTCTTTGAGCATTAAGAGCTTGATTGGGTTTCTTGGTTGTCTCTCTTCTCGAGCCATTTGTTGATTAAGGGGACCCCTCCTTTAATTTAAGACTTGGCTTGATTTCTTCTGTTTGATTCCTTTAGCTTTTTGCTTGTGCCTTTCATTTTGGTGTCTTTTGAGTTTTCTTCATTTTACCTCATTTAAGTGAGTGGACAACAATTCTTTGAGCATTAAGGGTTGTTCATTCAATTTTACCAATTTACATTCAATATTCTATAAAAAAAAAAAGCCCTCAAGTAGTTTATAAGCTTTCTTTATATTCATATATACTATTTTTGAAAGTTAATCTTTTGAAAAAAAATTCATTACTTATCTAAAATCTTAAAGAGTTTTTTTCTGTGTGGTTTTAACAACATACAAGTGTTTGTAAATGTTGTTGTAAAATCAAGATTGGTGTTGTTTTGTGGTTGTACTGTGTGGCAAGCACTTTTTGAATCTTGTGTTTATAGTTAAAAATTTCAAATGTAATCTTAAAGACTGAATATAGGCTAAGTAGTTGGGATGAACCAAGATAATTTTCTTGTGTCAAGCTTTCTTCTCTCCAAAACTCTTCATTTAATAAAAGCTTTATGCATTAAATTGTTTTTTAGTCCATTATCATCTTGGGTTGGGAAAAAATTTTTAGAAAATTTTAAAAACACCCAATTCATCCTCTTTTGGGTGCCAGCCTTATCCAACATTTATGTAGCCCTATGATTCAAAATTGTCGACTCTAATAGCCAAGAGAAGATTATACGCAAAAGGATGGATAAAAAAATGGGGTGCACAAAGCCCTAGGTCATCCATTCCTTATATAGAAACTAAACTGAATCTTATGTGTTGTATGGGTTAGATTTTTTTAAAAAAATTTTACAAAGTAATATAGATAATAACATTTACAAAATTCTAATTTAAATAATAATGTTGTCTTGTTAGACATAATAAAGTTTTGTTTAGATATTATATTCAATTTTAAGGTTAAAAATAATTTTAAGGTTAACAGTAATGAAGAATAAAGAATAATTTTACAAAACCCTAGGGTGTTCAACTGTACACTTGAAAGAATAAAGAATATGAAAAGCAAAGTGGAAAACAAAAATATCAGTACAAATTATAATAGACGCCGTGTTCTAATTTTTGGTCCAACCCCATTGGGCTTCTTAGTTGTCTTGACATGTTATAATAACTTATTATATATATATATATATGTATGTATGTATGTATGTATGTATGTATGTATGTATGTATTAGTATCATAGTTGTTTTTGATATATCATTATATTGTATGAGTGAATAAAGTTGAAACTTAATTACTTCTAATCAACTAATCAACAAACTTTCAATAATTGGAATTTTCCAAACCATGACCGCTTAAAAGGTTGATCTCTTGTATGATGAAAATCTCTATAAATTGTGAGGAAGTAACGCCCAAAAAAACCTACCACCATATATGTTGTTAAATGCAGGTAATTTAAATTTGCCAATTTGCTAATTAATTAATAGCCATATATATTTGTTACAAATATAACCTGGTAATCAAAAGCCAAGAGAATTGATTTAGCTAGAGTTGAGCAAGCTGGTTGATGTTGAGAGGATAGACAAGAGAAGAGTCACCATTGAAAGCCATTGTTGCCATGAGAATGTTGACTGCTTCTGTTGGGGGGAATGCATCCCAAAACACATACTCTCTTCCATTGAGGCATGGCGTCTGGAATGGGAGGCATGTGATCTGCCCTCTGTTCCTCCCTATGCCACAGCACCCTCTGTTCGCCACACTAAACCCTGCCATCGAATGGCGGAACCAAGACCAAGAGTTAAGGATGTAAGATCATTTAATTTAACAATTAATCATTTTTTAAAAAATAAAAATTACACCATGACTAAAAATATGATAATATAACTAAATTGATGATCATTTTTCTTTTTTGGAAAATTATATTGAACATGCTAATTCTTTATATCTTATATTGATAATTAAAATTTTTAAAAATATTCATCAAGCGATTGCTGGAGAAAATTTATATCAATTAAGGATTATTTGTTAACAAAATTTGAATGGATGCTTGTTGATTTGAGTTGATCTTTGATTAGCAAGTATCTATTCAAATTTTAACAACTCATTCTAAATTAATAACAGTCCATTTGGGCTTTCTTTCATTCGGATTTTGACAACAACTGATGCTTGACTGATATAAATTTCTTTAATGATCCTTCATTGTTATTTTCCCTTAAAATTTTACATATCTAATAAGTTTTTTAGCCCAAATATTTTTTTTTAAGTTTAGAGAGTGCAAAATATCAAGAATAGGAAGTGCAAAGTTGCAAAATTTATAAATCCTACTTGCAATTTGTCCCAAAGTAAGAGGGTTCTTTTGCCCGTACCCTCACCCAAACATGGCCCCGCCATTGCTGTCATCTCATCCATCCATCAAAATTAAACTAATATAATACTATAGGGTTTGGAATTAATGAGAGTTATATATACACACACATATCTATGTATCATACCATAAGATCTGGCATTGAGAAGAATATCTCGGAACATGGCGGCTGCGTCCACGAATATGAAGTTGGCTCCACAAAGATTGGCATTCAAATTGCTCAAAGTGGCCTTCACATTTGCATTAAAAGGTTGAACCAGCAAGTTCACTTCTTCTGAGCAGCTTCCACTCACACTCTGAGCCAAAATGCTTGGAATACATCCCATTAAGCCAAGCCCAGCAACCACAAATTTCCTCGCCCCAAGATTATAAAGTCTCTGCAGTCACATATATATGCATGAATAATATATATATATATATATAGAAATCATAGCTTGTGAATGAAGCAATAATAATAATAATAATAATAATATATCATCATCATCATCATTACCGTGAGCTGCTGATGGTAGGTTTAAGCCAAGAGATCAGCGTACTGTTGAGCCTTGTATTGATTGCGAGTGGGATAGTTAGGCATGAGGTAGTTATTTAGGTAGTCATTGCTTCCCATTCCAATAAAGAAAATGTAGATCTATATATCTCAATTCACATATATAATAATAATATGATAGAATAAAGTAATTCATGCATACCTGAAGAATCCATGAGTGCTAGAGAAATCTCGATTACCTCGAGTGCAGGCAGGTACACAACCCTCAAGTCCCCAGAGCCTTCAGAGAGTTCAGAGATAATGAAAGTAGAAGAAAATGAGTCGTGTGTTTGTGGTTACCGACTAATCGTCTTATATAGATCAGATCGGTAACTGCCTTATTAAATAATTAAATAATTATATTATCTATTATCTCTGACTCAGTCAGTTATGAGATAGGAAATAATTGACGGCTACTGGGTTGTGGGTTGGGCCTCTGCCCATTGGGCTCACTTGTGTGGTCCACCTATCATGGTCTACACAAGATCATAAGGACCAATTTATTGGGCTTATTAATTAATGCTAATTCATAAATAATATTCCAACAATCTCCCACTTGGATTGCATTAATTAAGCAAGTTGTATAAACAAGCCACAAACAAAATTCAGAAAATGAAACTCCACAAAATCACTGAATCCTATGGGGAAACAAGTGATTATGATATCTCATAATCTGAGTAAAACATGAAATTTTATTTCAAATACAGCTCAGTAAGATAACAACATAAATCACTGATTCTTATGGGGAAACAAGTGACATGCATAGCGTACCACAATAGAATCATTGAATCCTATAAGGATACAAATGATATAGACGTATCTAACTGAACTGAATATAACTCACAGAAGAAAACAAAGCCTAAAGAGAAATTACAACAAAGAAGGTTCTCAAACTCCCACTAAACTAGGGCATCAAAAGAATTCATAATACCCATACAAGTTACATGATTTTGAAAAACTTCTACAGGTAAGCCCTTAGTTAGCGAATCTGCAAGCATCTGCGTGCCAGGAATGTGTACCACACAGGTTTGAGACTCAGCAATTTTCTCTTTCACAAACATAAATTTGATATCAAAATGCTTTGTACAACTGGAATTTCTGTGATTGTTAGCATAGTATACTGCAGCTTTGTTATCACAATAAATGGTTAGAGGACGTGATATTGACTCAACTAGGTGCATGCCAGATATCAACTTCCTCAACCATATAGCGTGACGTGTAGTCTCAAAGCAAGCAATATACTCAGCTTCCATAGATGAAACTGCCGTAAGTGTCTGTTTCACACTCTTCCAAGAGACAGCTCCTCCAGACAACATGAAAATATAGCCAGTCGTGGATTTACGATCATCTAGACAAGAGGCAAAATCTGAATCTGAAAAGCCAACAATCTCAAGATCTTCTGATCCCTTAAAGTCATAATCAGAATACCCAACAACCTCAAGAGAATTTGACCTTCTATAAGTCAACATATAATTCTTTGTACCTTGAAGATACCTCATAACTTTCTTAGCAGCCTTCCAATGATCCGGACCTGGATCATTTAAGTATCGACCCAGCACTCTGATGGCAAAGGCTATATCTGGTCGAGTACACACTTGAACATACATAAGGCTGCTGACAGTAGAAGCGTATGGTATCTTTCTCATTTTAGCCCTCTTCCTATCATCCTTGGGACACTGTGACTTTAACAACAGCTCACCTTTCTGTACAGGAGCAGGTGAAGGAGAACATGAATCCATTTTGAATCTCTTAAAGTACCCGCTCAATATAAGTGGCCTATGATAAACCAAGAATACCATGAGATCTATCACGATGAATTTGTATCCTAAGAACAAAGGAGGCTTCACCCATATCCTTCATGTCAAAATGGCAAGACAATAGGTGCTTTATCTCATTGAGGAAATTTATTGAATTGCTGGCTAATAAGATATCATCAACATAGAGAATAAGAATGGCAAAATTATTCCCATCAAACTTTTGATAGATGCACTGATCTGAGACATTCTCAACAAAACCGAGAGAGGTGATAACTTTATCAAATTTTAGATACCACTGCCTAGAGGCTTGTTTTAGCCCATAGATGGATCTCTTTAATCTGCACACTAGATGTTCTTTACCGGATTCAACAAAACCATCAGGTTGTGTTATGTAGACTTCTTCATACAAATCGCCATTCAAGAACGCAGTCTTGACATCCATCTGGTGAAGATTAAGATCAAGCTGTGCAACTAAAGCCATTACCACTCTAAAAGCATCTTTGGTGGATACCGGAGAAAAGGTTTATGTGTAATCAATACCTTCTTTCTGGTTGTAGCCTTTAGCTACAAGTCTGGCTTTATATCTATCAATTTCACCCCTAGCTCCTCGTTTTGTTTTAAAGACCCACTTGCAACCCACTGGTTTAAACCCCTTTAGTAGCTCTACAAGCTCCCATACGTGATTGCGGTACATAGAGGCAATTTCTTCACTCATAGCCTCTAACCATTCAGAAGAATGCGAGCTAGAAATAGCCTCTTGGTAACACATTGGGTCTAAGCTATCAATAGCATCTGAATCAAATTCCTGCAAATATACCATGTAATCATCTGGAATAGCAGACCTGCGAACCCTTTGGGACCGTCTTGATTCAACAACCATGTCCCTATCACCCTCTAAAGGTGGTTCATCTTGAGCTTTATTCTGATCCATGGCATTATTTCTGTCAACATGAGGAGTTGTCAAGATAGGCATAGGTAAAATGCTACTTTCGTCATGCAAGGTAATATGCCTAGGCATAGAGCTCCCACTGTCTAAGGCATCTTCAAAGAAGTAAGCTCGGTCAGATACAATTACCCTAGTAGTGTGATTTGGACAATAGAATCTATACCCATGAGATCTGATGCAATAGCCAATAAAGAAACCATCAACATTTTTAACATCAAGCTTCATCTGTTGTGGATTGTAAGGTTTTACCTGTGCTTTACAACCCCAAACTGGCATATGCTTCAGCGCAGGAGTCCTTCCAAAATACAACTCATATGGAATCTTTGGAACTGACTTGCTAGGAACTTGATTCAAAATATAAACAGTAGTTTTGAGTGCATCACCCCACAAGAATTCTGGCAGTGAGGAGTAACTGATCATGCTCCTAACCATATCCATGAGAGTACGATTTCACCTTTCTGCAACCCCATTTTGCTGCGGGGTGCCAGGCATAGTATACTGAGCTTCAATGCCATGCTCTTGAAGGTACAAAGCAAATGGCCCAGGGTTCCTACCAGTCTCAGTATATCTCCCATAAAATTCTCCTCCTCTATCAGATCTCACACACTTGATCAACTTGCCAGATTTCAATTCGACTGCTGCTTTAAAGGTCTTGAATGCATTAAGGGACTCGCCCTTTTCACACAAGAGTTCAATCCATCCATGACGAGAGTAATCATCCGTGAAGGTGATGAAATATCTGAAACCACCCATAGCCGGAGGCGTGATAGGTCCACAGATATCAGTATGGATTAGGTCTAAAGTATTTTCAGACCTCTTTACCCCTTTGGTTCTAGCTCTAGCAGGGAATTTTCCCTTTATACAGTCAACACAAGTCTCAAAATCTGAGAAATCAAGGTCTCGTAAGACGCCTTGCTTGATCATGCGTTCCAATCTCTCTCTAGAGATATGACCCAAACGACGATGCCATAACATAGAGAAATTATCATTGGGCCTTTGACGTTTATGCCCAATAGCAGCATTGACATGAAGATTAGGAAGTTCAAGTAACTAATCATTCAATCGATATAAACTATATATCAAGGAAGTGACACCAACATTAATGGAATCAAAACAAATGTCAATTTTCCCATTTCCTTGGAAGAATGAATAGCCACAAATATTCAATGCAGAAGTTGAAATTAAATTCCTCTTCGCAGAAGGTACATAAACAACATTGTTCAAATGTAAAACATGACCAGAATTTAAATACAAAGAAATAGTTTCAATGCATTCAACCGATGCCTTGCTCCCTGCTATGCCAAAGACTAACCTCTGTGCCTCACTTGAACCTTCTGGTTTCTTAGCCCCTGTGGAGAATTCACAACATGTACAGTGGCACCAGAATCCATCCACCATGAGTCAAAGGAAGTTTCAATGGTGTTAGATTCAAAACAAATTAGAGCTAGAGGGGCAGTTTGAAGAGTTGTACCTTCACTTTCTTGTTTGTTCTTCAATTTGAAGCAATTAGCTTTAATGTGACCTGGTTTCTTGCAATAATTGCATAACCCTTTAAAGGGTTTCTTCCTCGACTTCTCACTCTTATCACCATCCTTCTTAAAGGTTGGATTATTAGGCTTTGGGGCATCATACTTCTTCCCCTTTTTCTTATGTGACCCTCCAGATTTGCTGCTAGAGCCATGGGAAACATAGTTTATTGAGTGAGAGGAATTCTTCTTTATAGCTTCCTCTTCTTGAGTGACTATCGATATCATCTGGTCAACAGACCATTCAGCTTCTTGTGAGTTGTATGAAGTCCTCAAGAATGCGTACTCTGATGGCAGTGATTGAAGAACACGGTAAACCAAGGTGCTTTCACCCAAATCAATCCCATATGACTTAAGCTTGTTATAGTAATGAACAAGCTTCAGAATGTGCTCCCTGACACCAGAAACTCCGTCGTATCGAGTGTTGTCAAGAAGTGACAGATAGTAGTTCTTTTGAGTCTTGTTAAGCTTCTTGTATTTGTTACCAATAGCTTTCAAGTACTCCACTGCAGTATCATTTTCAGGAATGCTGTCCCTAATTCCCTTTTCAATTGTGTACTTGATGATCGCTAGACAGATCTGGTTGGACTCACTCCATTGTTTATGGAAGGCTATTTCAGAAGCACTAGACTCGGAAGAGAGATCCGCAGGCTTGGGCTCTCTCAGAGCTAAATCTTTCTTAGAAATGGTCAGATACATATTGAGGGACTCTTTCCAGTCATCATAGTTAGTCCCATTAAGAGCCTTCACAAAGGATAGTTGCGTAAAAGCAAAAATTGAAATCGCAAAACAGAAAATGGAAAATATTAATTATGCGTGCACAACATAATTATAAAACAGAATTTCCAACAAGCGATTATCAATTATGCAACTATAACCATGCACCAAGAAGGCTCATACACCATAAAGATTTAGCTCACACAAAAGTCCATACAAAATAATGCATTAAACATTTTCATACCTATAGGGTACAATAAATATCTAACATATTAAAGGAGTGCTATTAGCCTATTCTCAAAGCAAACTATCAAAATTATATTAATAATGTTACACCTATGGGGTGTGTCCATTATTCATACTACAAGATCCTAAGCATCATCAATAATTCATAAAGTCATAAATTTTATGACCTTAAGACAAAACAACATAATTTTAAAAGTCCTTATGGTCTTTTGGGAATTAGAAAATGAGTCTAGTACTTAAGTGAAATTTTAAAAGGTAATCAGGGGCAAATAAGTAATTCTGGAAGAGATTTGGGTTAAAATTGCAATTCTGGAAGTTAAGGGACTGCAGTGTAATTTCTAGAAATATCATAGGGCTAATTCGTAAATTTAATAAATTTTGGGCCAAGAAGGTAATTTAAAATGAGACTGAAAATGCAATTAACTGATTTTTTTTTGCACTATACTGGGCCCATACGATTTGGGCCCAGTATCAGTTTCATATATATAAAAAAAACGAAATGGACCAGCCCCACCAAAAGCATAACTGTCACCTTTTTTTTTAATTATACTGGGCCCATGCGATTTGGGCCCAATGGACTTGGTCCAGCCTACCAGAATTTTTTTTTTATAATAACAGCTCATTTGGGCCCAGAACTATGAAACCGGATCCCTAGGATCCGATTTCATGATCCTGTTGCAGCTTCTTTTAGCTGCCGTGAGCCAGAAGCACTGGGGAGGGGAAGGACGAGCGGCAGCACCAGTGAACCAGCCAACGACCACAACGCCAGCAGTGGCTCCGGAGGTCCACAACGCCAGCAGTGGTTCCACGTAGCAGTGGAGAACGAAGCTGCAGACGACGCACTGGCAGCTCCGTTTCCGGCGATCATGTCCGACGTCCTTGGAGTCCTTCTCCGGCAACAGAAACATACAGTGAATAGGGAGATGACACCGAGAAGGAGAAAAAATTTTTTTATTTATAATAAATATAATAAGATTGAAAACAAAGTTCTCATATTCAAATATGAAGAATATGGATCATAAGAAATTTATCAACATGAGCATGAATCTTTTCAATATATCAAAAAAAATATACATAAAGGGAATTGAGATATATAAATTTAAAAGTCGTTACCAAGGCTCTGATGCCACGTGTAGATCTGTGTATCTCAATTCACATATATAATAATAATATGATAGAATAAAGTAATTCATGCGTACTTGAAGAATCCATGAGTGCTAGAGAAATCTCGATTACCTCGAGTGCAGGCAGGTACACAACCCTCAAGTCCCCAGAGCCTTCAGAGAGTTCAGAGATAATGAAAGTAGAAGAAAATGAGTCGTGTGTTTGTGGTTACCGACTAATCGTCTTATATAGATCAGATCGGTAACCGCTTTATTAAATAATTAAATAATTATATTATCTATTATCTCTGACTCAGTCAGTTAAGAGATAGGAAATAACTAACGGCTACTGGGTTCTGGGTTGGGCCTCTGCCCATTGGGCTCACTTGTGTGGTCTACCTATCACGATCCACACAAGATCATAAGGACCAATTTATTGGGCTTATTAATTAATGCTAATTCATAAATAATATTCCAACAGAAAATGCATTTTTCAATACTCGTTGCTGCTTCGTCTGCCCCAAGATTTGCAGTTATTTGATTCAATGTGTTCTCGAAGTTCCTTATCTGTTCATTGAACGGTATGCGCCCCACCTGCATGCTCCAAGTCAATTCCCCTTAATGCTGTCGGTACCATTTTGCACGTTCTCATTTCATCTAACAGGTTTTCATCACAACTAACTCCTGGGTCAAAATAGATGCACTGTAGACAAAATGATATATAAATTCTTTTGAAATAAAAAAAATTAATAATTTGGTCATGTGAAATGTAATAATCCCTTTCAAGTCTCATGACTTATCTGTTAATAAATTTTAAACTGAAATGACACTTTTACCTTTATAGAAAACAAAAGAAAGATAGCAATTACAAGATTAGTATAAGTATTTGCAAACGGTTCTACCAATAAATAAAATGATTCGAGAAATTACAACTTTCTCTCAGCAATTTTTTTTTCAATTAATAAAGTCTAACTTACAAATTTTATATTGTTCACAAATTTAAGGTAAGCATTCACAAGTATAGTTTTACCAAAAACTAAAACAATTTAAAAAATTACAACTTTCTATTACCAGTGACTAAAAATGTCATTTCACTTTAAAGCTCATTGATAGGTAAGTCCCTCGAGAGTTGAAATGGATTATCACATTTCACGATATCAAATTATCATTTTTGATTTATCTGTCATTCTCTCCATAAATTTTTCAATGATGGAGAGGGTTCATCTAGTAACTTGGAGGATTTAGTAACTGGTGAAGGAGAACAAAATTTATCATTCTATTGAATAATAAATGATAAGGAGGTAAAGAAAGCTCTTAAGAAAATGACAAATGATAGAACCAACGGACCTGATTATATATCTATCGAAGTATGGAAATGTTTAGGTGAAGAAGTGGTGAGATGGTTAACTAAATTATTTAATGTGATTTTACGGTCCAAGAAAATGCCTGATGAGTGGAGGAGAAGTACATTAATTCTTATTTATAAAAATAAAGGAGATATTCAGAATTGTACTAACTATAGAGGGATTAAACTCATGAGCCATACAATGAAATTGTGGGAGAAAGTAATTGAGCACAGGTTGAGATTGGAGACAAATATTTCTGAGAATCAGTTTAGTTTTATGCCAAGTAGATCAACTATAAAGGCGATTTATCTGCTAAGGGGATTAATGGAAAAGTATCGTTGTAAAGATAAAGATCTACACATGGTTTTTATTGATTTGGAAAAAGCTTATGACCGTATACCAAGAGAAGTGCTTTGGAAAGCGTTAGAAAAAAAGGGAGTACGGATGGCTTATATTAAAGCCATACAAGATATGTATGAGGGGGTAAAAACTAGTATAAGAACACTTAGTGGTCAAACAAAGGATTTTCCTATAAAGATTGGACTACATCAGAGATCATCTCTGAGTCCTTATTTGTTCAACTTGATCTTAAATATTTTGACGGAACATATTCAAGGGGAAATTTTGAAATGTATGCTCTTCGCGGATGATATAGTTCTTATAGCAGAGACAAGAGAAGAGGTTAATTGCAAACTTAAGTTATGGAGGAGGACATTGGAGTCGAAAGGTTTTCGTCTAAGTAGAAGTAAGATGGAATATTTATATTATAAATTTGGTAAAGGACTATTCGACAATAATTTGGAAGTAAAATTGAGAGATCAAATTATACCTCAAGTGGAAAAGTTTAGATATTTGGGAGCCATTATTCAACATGATGGCGAAATCAGTGGAGATATTTCACATAGAATTCAAGCTAGGTGGTTTAATTGGAGAAAAGCTAAAGGAGTTATTTGCGACCGTAAGGTGCCTAATAAACTTAAAGAAAAGTTTTATCGCACTGCTATCAGACCGGCAATGTTATATAGTAGTGAATGCTGGGCTCTACGAGACAGCAAGAGCATAAAGTTGGAGTAGTAGAAATGAAAATGTTACGATGGATGTGCGGACATACACGTAAAGATAAAATTCGAAATGAGCACGTACGCGAAAAAATGAGGGTGGCACCTATTGAGGAAAAAATGATAAAAAATAGGTTGAGATGGTTTGGGCATGTACAAAGAAGACCAAGAGAGGCACCAGTGAGAAGAGTGGAACATATAACTTTGAGTTCGATTAAGAGAGGTAGAGGAAGGCCTAAGAGAAAACTCTTGGAAGTTATTGAACGCGATCTCTTAATTAATAATATTCCTAAAAGCTTGATAAATGATAGAGCACAATGGCGTCTTGCAATCCATGTAGCCGACCCCACCTAGTGGGATAAAGGCTTGTTGTTGTTGTTGTTGTTGTCTCTCCATAAATTATAAGTGCTTTTAAGGGAAGGAAATGACAAATGTACTTATCCCTTTTTTTTTTTCCTAGATATATTCTCTATGTCCTTTCTAAAACATACTTTTCCTTGCATCAAATATGCATAAACCACAAAGTTTTCTAATATATATCAATGAATGTAATGCATTATGCAGTCTAGTTGATGGATTTTTAGTGTAACAAAGTTGGAAAGATTTCATACATCCATTTTGATTAAGTGGATGGTTTGTCTTTGCGTCACATTATCTACTACTTTACTAAGTGAAATTAAAATGATAATTTTTCGAAACATTCAAAAATAATGACAGTCACCAAATCAAAAGATTTTTTGATTTAATATCGATCATGGCATCACATTTTCTACCATACACACACTAAATGAAATGACTATTTTAAAAAATTTTAGCATACGAAGTTTCTTCCGGTGATGTCAAGGATTCCAGCAGCTGCTGAAGCATAGTTAACTCCATGAAGCACTCCACCTCCTGATGCTTGAGAGTGCGGTGGAATTAAGGGAAGTCCAAGCAGTTCAGCTGCGTCAAATTTATGTGTAAATTTAATTATTATTATTATTATTATTATATATATATATATATATATATTCAAAATGGGAAAAAATAATATACATATATAAAGATGGCAATAATAATGGCACCAATATTAGTACTCATTATAATAAATTTGAATGCATGCCCCCACCTCTGTTTCTTTCACCTCGCTTGACCAATTAATTAAGCCATTGAGGTGAGTACAGCATATCCATTTAAAGCAAAAGAGAGAAATACTAGAGTAAATACTTCAGGTAAACTTAACGTTTTAAACGACTAAGCAGATAGGTTCATCATTTGTTTACACTTTACTAACTGGTAGGCTTCTCAATAAATATAGAGTAATATTTATACACATTAATATTATATATATAATTAGAAAAGAAAAAGAAAATAATGATAAAATATAAGAAATTATTATATGTGAGAGCCATATTTTGGATATAGACCATTTATTTAAATGGGGTAAGATATCTAAGTGTATGCACATAATACATATAGATATATATTTATACACATTAATATTATATATATAATTAGAAAAGAAAAAGAAAATAATGATAAAATATGAGACATTATCATATGTGAGAGCCATATTTTGGATATAGACCATTTATTTAAGTGGGGTAAGATATCTAAGTGTATGCACATAATATATATATATATATATATATATTGCGTCTATATCTATTTTGAAAAACTGAATGACCGTAGTGAAGAAGAAAATGACACTTCTCCACAAAACTAATATATAAGAATATAAAAGGAAAAAGAATGGAAGGGAAATTAAAATTCACTCTAGCTCCTCTACGAAATCTGTCAACAACAATAGTTTCAAGCGTAAAAGTGGAGTTTTACAAGTAAACAGCTAATTAATACCATTTGCGAGAGGAAATTTAAGAACATTTGACTTGTAAATTTTATTTTCCTCCTATATATAAAAGGTCTGCACTTCAAATCCGCCTCTCAAAAAGCAAAACCTTGTGCATCTGAGTAAGATAATAAACCCCATCCCAAAATTTGACTTTTAAAATAAATTAAAAGAGCTAACCTACTTAAATATTTTATTACGCATCCCAAATTAATTAATGTGGGACTTGCGGTAACCCATATCCAAGTATCCATCAATATATGGATACACTTTTTGTTACCAAACTTACTAGAAAAACCAAGTTATTCAAGTGTCTAACGAGTGATCTGTTATCTGAATATATATTGAGAGATTCGGCTAAAAGAGCAAGAAGATGAGAGAAGACCTATTTGATCAACCATAGTGTAGCCATTAGAGAAACGACCAGCAGGGCCTCCATTGAAGTCGATGCCATATGGGAAATAGTTGGCCTTGGCAAACGAAGGAAGGTTGTTGTTGTTGCCATTATCGATGAGAGAGTCACCAAAGATGAACATGGCAGGCACCATTTCTCTTCTACTGTTAAACCCATTATTACCACTCTGCCCTCTGATCACTTGAAATTTCACAACCATGCAAAGCACAAGCAATAACAATGGAGCCTGCAACGTCAACAACTTAGCCATATTAAGAGAAAGAAACAAGAGATGGAGTCAGGGTTTGGAGAAAGAGGGCCAGCTAGGTCTTTTTGGTAAAGGAGGGAAGAGTATAATATAATACAAATATATAATGGGGTTTAACATTTAATAGCAGGTGAGTAATATTATGAGGCGCTGGTTGATAGAAATGAATGCATTCATCTGTTTTCTACGTTCCTGCAATTATGATTCTTACTCATCAAACACTCAAAATTCGTGCAAGCCATTTTGAAAAAAACAAAACAAAAACAAAAAACAAAAATCTCTCTTCCACCTCTTTTCTCTGTATCACAGTGTCTCGTTCTTGGAGAGTAGTTTCGTTTATCATGAAAAACTAGAGTTACTTCTACTCCCCGGTATCCCTATTATTAGGTGCATTCTAGAAAATTTTTTCGTCTTTAATATAACATATTTGATAAAATATTAACTACATTTTTTAATATTATTTTTATTTATAAATTCATTAACTTTAAGTGAATATGTAATGCAAAATTTGAAAAACTTTCATATGGATAAAATTATAAGTTTATTTTATATTCAAACAAAATTAATAACTTAATCATCTTTCCTTGCTTTCAATGAAGCGGTTAGAAATGCCTTGTAACAGAAATCACAGGAGTACATCAATCCTAAAATGAAATTTATTAAAAGATTAATTAGTTCATTACATATTGACAGGCTTGTAGCTAGATTAGGCCATGAGTGGACTCAATTAACAAAGTCCAACAAAAAAAGGGTTAATTTAACACTTGATTTACATGTGGTCAACACCTATATATGAGTTGTGAATTGATGTTTGAATTTTCATTGGGAGAAAAATTCACATTTATTAATACCTGAGTATACCTCAAATAAAATTGTATCTAATAGGAAGATATCTTTGCGAGTAATTAAAAAAAAAAAGGAGAATCTCATTTTGGACTCAATAGAATCTGAAAATGCACCATAGGCCAGAGGGCTCTTCTTGCAAATTTTGCTGTGAACAAAAAGACCCATTTGCCCTTGCCTTAATAAAATGTCCATGCATGCATAACACGAGGTCTATGAATCATCAACATAATGTCCATCAATTCTCAACATAGTGTAAATATGTAGGCCTACAACATTTGTACAACATAAAACCTATGATAAACAATATACTTTCATTGAAACAAAACAACAGACTTTAAGTTAATATACACCAAATGTGTTATGTGCATTTATGAATATTGTATTGAGAATTTATAAATATCATATTGTGCGTACATGAACATTCTTTTGAGACAAGGGCAGATGCATTTTTTCATCTACAACAAAATTTGTAAGAAAAGCCCTCAAGCTTGCAGTGTGTTTTTATATTCTATTGGATCCTAAATGTAAATTTTTATGTTCTGAGGGCCTTAAGTGAGATTCTCTCAAAAAAAAAAAAAGTTGTGAAACGAAAATTCAAAACGCTTAATTTTTTTCAAGTCACTTTAATTTGATGCGCCAGTTGTGAGTCTAAAAGGCTGAAGGTTCTGAAATAGACACTAATAGAATGTTTACTTGCCATGCTATATGCTTGTTTGAATATTAAAAGAAGGCAAGTTGGTCCCATGACATTTACAAATTAAGGCTTTTAAAAAAAATAAAAAAAAAATCATGATTACAAGAGTTTGCAGCTGAAAAACACTATTTCTAGTTATTTATGTCGTCAGTACTGTACGTAGTTAATTAGCTTGAGATGATCAATTAAATACATCTAAACATTACTATGCTTTTGGATCCTTTTACTTCAATTCTAAAATTAAAAATAAAAAATAAAAATTTAACTGTATATTTATTATTATGAAAAATACACTACAACTGTTAGCAAACACAATGGTGAAGAAGTGATGGGCAAAGCAGAGAAGCGCGTTTAAAGAATGAAGTTATTCCTCGAAACTAACATTAATTGTGTGATATTATTATAATATAAATTCATTTATCACTATGTTGTTATATTATTTATTAATATAGATATAAATATTTTAACTATAACGGCAAGTAATATATTCACACACACATATATTCAAAGAAAATATCACACGTATACTTTGCAAAGTCATATTAACCACCCGAAGATTAGGGACCCTGCATATAGTCTCAGTGATTACGCCTTCGGTCTCTATATATATATATATAATGTCTTTTGAAAGATTATTTTATCCTTAAATATAAAAGGTATTATTTTTGAATAATTAAATAATTTTATTTTGTTGTAAAAAATAAAAAAGATATTAATTGTGTGCTTTTATCCACTACTGATATTAATTATGACATTATTAAAAGCAAAACTGAAAAATTATTGTGATTTTATATTATTTCATCTAAATAACAAACTTTTAGTTGAATGTAAGATTTAATTAAAAATATTTTATATATAAAGACGAAGAAAGGAGTGTAGTATGGTAAGTTTTCTTAGGCTAAAGTCTTAGGTGGTTGGAAAGATACATTATAGGATTAGTTTATAATATGTATATAAGTGGATTGAAAAATGAATAATGTATTTATGGACATTATATGTCTCTAAACTAATCACAGAATTAATAATTTGACTATGCAATCTTATAATTCATTTGGTATAAGGGAAGAGTTTTTATGAAAGTGGAAATGGAAATAAAAGTGAAAGTAAAAATGAGAATAGAAGTAAGATTCAAAAGTGTGTTTGGAAAAAAAAATTTATTTAATGAACATATTCATATCTTGAAAAGACCAAAATACCTATAAAATTTGAAAAAAAATCCTCATCCTCTGTAGCTTCTTTCTTGACAACTACCATTGCACATTAAAAATGACTGAAGTTCCAGCAAACATAACTCTCACTGAACAATAATTCCAAAACAACAATCTAACTTCTATCATTTACGACTTGTAATCATTGAAGATTAGGAGCAATATTTTAGAAAAAAAACCCATGATTTGAAGATATCACCTTCCTGCACATCAAAACGATTTGGCTTCCTGTGCAGTAACAATGGCAAACTCTAGTTCAGCATGTGCGATAGGAAGTGGGGTTTCAAGACACAGATTGCAAAATGGGGCAATGGGAAAACTGATTGAAGTAGATCGTTGTTATTAAATTTAAAATTTATTGTAGCTCAGATCTAAGAATGGAGAAAGAGTTGAAATGGGTGAGGAAGATGGAGGGGCCACAAAAATCACCATGGAAGAGGAGCTGGAGGTGGAAGGCTGAAGATCTGACAGATCGAAAGAAAAAAAGAAAACTGAAATATGATTTGAGAATACACATCCATGGTGTCGCCGACGGTTGTTGCCAGAGGGGTGAGGTTCGGTTGTCGTTAATCTAGTCGCAGCAGCCATCGCCATCATCGTCCTCGATTTGGTCTTCCATCGCATCACCATTGATGGACATGGTGGGTGATGAAGCTCGGTCAAATACAAAAGAAGAGAGTTGAGGGTAAAAATGAGAAACCAAGGAAGGAATTGAGGGAGGAAGTGAGTTCTTTGGATGATGGAACTCACTTCCACCATTTTTGACGGAACCAGGTTCCTTGAGGAAGTGGAATCCTGTTTACCAAACATTCTATTTTTTTATTCCACTTCCATTTTCACTTTCCCGACCCCAGTTCTCCTCTACCAAACAGGCCATTAGCGACATAAAGGAATAAAACAACAGTCAGATTTTCTCCTCACTCGCTAATTTACATGTTAACAAAATAATTTGTGGCTTGCTTTGTATTATTGATTTCTGTTTTACAAATAAAAGTCAGTTAAGTTGCACGCGTACATATTATAATCAGATTTCAAAAGACACTATATGTTAATGACCTGGCAATCACTTGAGAAGATTGCTTCAAAACAGAAATAAATTGTTTTTCAATCATCATGCTTGTAAAATCAATGTACGTTTATTGAAACAATGCATGTGAAGTATCTCATTGTTTATACGTTGTTATAATTAATGTGTGGATGTGTCAAAAAGTATAAATTACCAAAGAGTAAAAGCATGTTGGTAAATATGCCAGGAGAAGATAAGTCTCCTGGCACGATAGCAAGCCAATGTTGGTTAGTGTAAATGTGGTGTTGAGCACTTTTTGTAAAAATATTTTTGACAAAAATAAAAAATGTTTATTTAGAAAGGGTTTCCCAGAAAATCCTTATATTTGAGAAGATAGTTTTGGCAAAAATCCTTAGATTCACAAATTATTTTAGGTACATGCACACCTCATTCAGCAAAAATCTTATTAATCGTGACATCTTAACTAAATTAAGATATCTTGGATTTAATAGTCGAGAATCAAATCACAACAATAAACACAATGTATGACATTCATTGTAATACATGACTCAGTGAAGCTTACAATATTTGAGATCATGAAGCAGCTACAGTTGACAAGTTATTCAGGCTACAATTTATTGAATAAGCGTGCTATTATGCAAATAACACGCACAACATCCCTTATTTTGATTACTAACTAAAACTTATATCATATCAATGTTACAAAATGAAGTTATTTCCTAAAACTGCAATAATTCATCTTGTATCATCAAGGGGTAAGTGTCAAGAGCAAATGGTCCAAAGTCAGTAATTCCATCATTCTCCACAACCTGAAATTAAGCAAAAAAGAAAAAAAATATTCATGGCTTGATCAATTAATTAGATTAATATTTTAATATAGAAAACACATCAATGCTTTTTTCTCAAAAGGAAAAGCAAATTATATATATATATATATATAGACATCTCATCATTACCTTATCCTGGAGATACTTATTTGCAGCTTTGAGTATTCCCTCCTTCAAATACCAAAAGCCAATAAGGCGTATGTAAAATAAATTAAACACAATTCATATTTTTCTATCATGCATATTAATTTTAAATATTTGATTATATATATATATATATATATGCACTCTAACAAGCTAAGTCTCACTATTAATGAGTAATGGTAATGCATGAATCATACTATGTACTACTACAACAATAATAAGCTTTATCTCATTAGGTGGGATTGTGATATAAAAAAAATTAAAAATATTAATACTTTTGACACAATACAGAAAAATTGAAGTTTTATTATTGAGTATCTTTAAATACTTTTGGCTAAAAATATTAAAAAAGAAAATTTGATTTAATACAATATTGAAGTTTTTTTAAAAAAATTCTTAAGGCATCGCCTAATTATATAAATATGGTATAAAAATTATGTAATTATTTCTAAATTTATATAATCTTATAATTTATAATAATAAAAATATAAAAATTTTAATTTCATTTTTTAAAGAAAAAAGTCAAGGATTTAAACTTCCAAAGATTAACACAAATCTAACGAATCAAACTCCAAGATCTTGATTAAATTAAAATAAATTACACAAATTTAATTTAAAATTGAGAAAATTATAAGAACTAAAAGATTAATTTTTTTTCCTTGCACACACATATATCACACCAAAAATTAAAAGAAAAATAAATCACCTATAAATATATAAAAAGATGTCATTAATTTGATATAGGATACATATTATTGTTTCGAGTAATTTATATAATAATGTTTTGCTCATTATGCTATACAAAGAAAATATTTTTGAGCAAACGATTTTAGAAATTAAATTCAATCAACACATTTATTTTTCATGGTTAAGTTACCAAAAGACTAAAATAACTATATAAAAATAAAAATAACTAAAGTACTGCAGTTTCATGCTAACCTTGTCCCTCAATGTTTGAATTTCACGTAACATATTATTCATCTGTAAATAGTAAGAAAAGATAACACGCAGTCAAGATCTCCAAAAATTAAATCAAAGCATAATGTAATTAATTAAATATTTGAAATAAAGATTGATTGAATTTCATCTTATTTTATTTCATTTTATTATGAAGGAATAAAAATATGGGAGAATTACAAAACAAAGCCCTATGAAATATGAAAATGACAAATAAGTACTATGAAATATAATAATTATTTTGAAGTCTCTAAAGACTTGTTTTCTGCCATTTTTGTTTATCAATCAAGTGCAACCACTAAAGATTAAATCAGTTACCAGTTACAATTGGAAAATGACTACTTTATTTGGGATAGTGACTATGCAAAATTTTCGTCATCAATCAAGTGCAAACTTCTGAAAATGAGTTACTTGGTATGAATCGAAAATGACTACTTTATTTGAAGAAATGATTACTGCTAAATAGTAGACAACAAGTGTCTCTTCCATAAAAATTTTATCAATCAAGTCTAACTTAAAAAAAATAAGTCACTACTTTGTTTGGGCTATAAACTAAGGGGGAACAGAAAATAACAAGTTCCTTTCTTCTATTTTTAATTATCAGTCAAATGTAACTACTCAAAATCAGTTACTAGTTACAGTTAGGAAATGGCTAGTTTGTTTGAGGAAGGACATAATGACAACTGAATAGCAAATGATGCAAGTACCTCTTTGCAAATTTAAAATTAGGGGCAATAAGTCATCTCACAAAAAGTCAAAATGCGATATAAGTTTCTAATGACCACATAATAATTACCACATATTCCATTCACATTTCACTGTACTTATTTATTATTTTCATATTTCAGGTTTTTTTTTCATTCATACTAAAGAAAATTGCATTTTGGTGTTACCTTCATTGAACGAATCTGATAAATCCACATTTCGAGGTATTTCTCCAACACTTGTAATTCCTCCACCGCCATTGTTCCGATTCCCCCTCCAAACAAGTAACTACTCGCAATGGAAATTTAACACATTCATATTTTAGTGCAACGTGAAATAAAGCATTCTCTGTAATAAACTACTTCTACATACATACATACATATACATATATATGACAACCATAATGTATAATCATCAATTACTAATGTATGAATTTTTATTAATAGAGTAATATAGTATATGCGTGTGTAAATAATTAATTCATATTATTAATTATTGGTAAAACTAGCAACTGATAGAGTTTATGAAAGATATAGCATAATTGAATTTTAATTATTTTTATCTTCAATTTTTTTTGGATAAAAGAGCAAATTGACCATAAAGCTATAGGTACAGGAGTCTCTGGAAATCTGAATTTATTTTTGGTATAATATTTTCTTTAATTTTTAAAAATGGTGTTATATCTAATTTTTATAGTTAATAAAAGTTAACTTTTATTATTAGTTGGCTAAAAAATGACAGCAAAGGACCTCAAAAATTATAGAAAATGACTAATAAAATTTCTTTGGTCCTTTATAGTAATTTTTTGGCACCTTATTTGTAATTTTTAGATCATTTACTAAAACATTTTTGGTCTTCTGCTGTCATTCTTGGTCAACGAATGATAAAAGTTTATTTTTGTTAACAGTAAAGTCTGATTGAACTATTTTCAAAAGTTCAAAAGTAGTATTACATTAAAAATAAGTTTAAAATTATAAACGCTCCTAAATTTATATAGTTTAAGGGTCATTTTTTTATTGAATAAATTTAAAAAATGTTTAAAGTAGGATTCGAAAATAGTTATATCTTTTTATTCGAATAAAACTTCATAATCAGTTTGAACTTCAAAGTTAAGTTTGAGCTTCACTTACGTCTAGAATTTGAACAAATAGATACCTGTCAAAATCTTCTTTAATATCAAAGACACCCCCGCTGATGTTAAATAAATTTTCAGTAATTATACTTTTATCCATTCTTAAAATAAAAAAATAATAAGAATGAGATAGTTCACAGAATTCATAGAATTAATTACCCCGTAACTATACTCCTATTTGTATTTAACAACAAGGACATTGAAAATCATGATTTTTTATCTCATAAATCATATTTACAAAATTTATATCTTAAATTTGCACCATCCGAACAATAAACACATAGTTTGTTATGATGAGCACCGAATCAAAACTAAAATTAGGGACTGAACAAACAATTGTACTGAAAACAGTTTGACTGAAAAACTGAAATATAATATAATTAAGAGAGAAAGACAATAAAGTCTCAATATTTGAAATTTATTATAGTTAAATTCTGAAAAAAATTATAAAAAAAAGTTATAAATATTATTTCAAACCACTACAAACAAGAATCCAACAATAAACTAAGAGTTATATTTAAAATTTAAGTGTTTAATTTGCAGTTGTAACTCCTAAATTTATGACTATATATTTGAAATAATATTTATAACTGATTTTTTTCAAAAAAATTTATTGTTACTTTGTGATAAATTTTAGATTTTAGAATCTAATTGTCAATCTTCCTGCAATTGATTAGACTATAAAATTTACCTGAGACCCTTTTGCAGAGTTCCAATTTCTTGTTTCAGCAAATCGATCTCTTCTTTCGCGTCCTGCACAGGAACATACTATTGCCGCGTCAAAGGTAATTAAAACGAAGATATGGATGCTTACTTTGAAGTAATGACAATTAGGTATTTAGCAATTTTCTGAAAAATGAATTATAAATCTCCATTCAAACTAATACAAATTTAGAAGTCATAACTGCACATAAAATATTTAAGTTTCAAATGTAATTCTTAGATTATATCTGAAATTTTTGTTTGTACTCCTTTAGTCTTATTTATAAGTCATTTCTAACATGTTTTACCGATACAAAAAAAAACCCTAAAACTCATTAACTCTGTTTTAAAATTTAATAAAATTTTGACTTTATCTCTATTAAATATACACACTTTAATAACATATTTTCTCTTTCTAACATTAGTAAACCGTAAAAAAAGCAATTTATAATGAAAATTTAATGACGTGACTTATAAATAGGACTAAAAAAATTCTTCTTTCTCCACCTAAAAATAGGACCAGAGGGAGTAACTATCTGAACTGATATTTGTAATTTATTTATTTTTAAATTTTTTTGGGACCTAATTGTTATTATCCATTAATTAATTACTAAATAAAAAAAAGGAAGCTCTATATTATCAATATCTAATTTAAAATTTCAATTATTAAAATTATTTTCATAACATTCCTTCATAAAACTTTGTAAAACTTATTTTCAATAAAATATTTATCTAAAAAGTATTAATTATAATAATATTTTGTCCATTTTATTAAATTTTGTTAAATTATTTATTGCCCAAGAACGATTATAATTCCCCCTCCCAAACTACCAATAGATAAAATTTTCATTTAGTATTTAATATTTTTATGAACCTTGCTTAAAACAAAGTAAAACTAATGTCTTATCAACTTCCAATTAATATAATAGTAATAGTAATTTATGTATACAATTTAAAATAAATTTATTAAATTATTCAAATGTATTACGGTGTTCTATAGAGTATGTAATAATAATGTCACATATGGAATTTTTTCCTTTTTAATTAATGAGAACAAGGATTAATGATTTTAATGGGGTTAGACGTTAGACTCCAATTGGAAGTCTTAATTACTTAAAGACCTGAACCTTTGAGCCTAAAGGAAAAACTTTTTTTCCCCCGATAGTGAGCTCTCAAATATTCTTTCCAATCAAGCCAAATTTTTAAAAGGCTCAAATCTATTTTAAAAAAAAACAAATATACCTATATTTAATACTTGATTGCACTTTAATAACATTTTTTTCCTATAGAAAAATACTTATGAGCGGAAAACAAAGACATTACGTAGGTTAGTAGGTCAACCTAAAGCTTTAACTTACAGAAGGCTTGGCTTATATATTTGGTTAAAACTTGACCCATTTTCGCCTCTAACCATATCCTTTGGTTACGTTGTTTTTGTTCTATGCACTTTTAAAAATCTTGCATAACATATACACCAATATTCAATATAAAATAATATAAAATTTTTTAAAAAAATTTGATTGATCCAAAGCCTTAATTATGCTATTATTGATATTCCAGGTAATGTACGCTTATATAGAGAAAAAATATATATAGTTTTAATACTTCTCTAGGAAAGAGCTTAATTTCCACAGTACTATCATGCACATGAGTTCCATATTTTAAAGATAACGCATACAAAGAAACAAAGAAATTCAGGAATCCAACAACAAAGCTTTTCTTCTATTATATATCTACAGACACGAACACACGAAATCGAATCGAACAAAGCAATTAAGTTGTGCCAGGTAAAGCTTATTAATCATATACAATATTTCTTCCGTTTTTATTACAAACTTTTTATATAAACAAAATCACAATAGGCATTTATTACAAATTTTTTAAATTAACTTTTATAATTTAATAAAAAATAATTAATGAAGACTTAATTAATATAATTATTAAAAGGTATTGTAGTTTAATTTTTTATTTTTAAAAATAATTAATATAATTAATTAATTTTTTAAATTATGTGATACAGCAGAAACGGAAGAGTAATTAAGAACTGAGTTCTTGATCACGAGGAATCTATCAAGCCATCCACGTTTCATCTTTTGGATGATTAGTCACACTCTCACTGACATATAACTACTTTTCAATAACTATGCAGACAACGCCACCAAGAATCCGATCCTTGTCACATTCCTTAAGATATCACATCTAATAGCCATTAAAGATCCATTTTTCTTGGAAATAATTAATACTATTGGTCATACATATTATTCGATTCTTCCATTATAGTAGTATTTGATCCTTCCAACTGTGGCAAAGTAAACACAAAAGCACAAATAGACAGACAGAGAGTTTACGTTACCTGGGGATGTGATTCATTGATGGTCGGTTCAGGTTGAAGCTGAGGTCCACGAGTGAACTTCATGTACCTGTCCAAAAGCCCTTGCATTGTTCTTTAATTTCGTATGCGAAAACCAGACAGAGCAAAGTTTAGAGACTGTATCATATATATATATATATATATATATAGTAAAAGATGTTTGAAATATTATAATGATCAGAAAAGTGTAATGATAGATATACCCTTTGGTGGCTAACTCGTAGAGCTTGCCGTGGGCGGAGAAAATGAGTAGGCCAATTTCAGCATCGCAAAGCACAGAAAGCTCCTTAGCCTTCTTCAGGAGCCCAGCTCGGCGCTTGCAAAAGGTCACTTGTCGGTGCACCGGGTTCTCAATCCTCTTCATCTGAACCTTTCCTCGTACCATTTTTAATGCTAATTTTTCCGACCGATGATCTTAATTAATCTCTGTCTGTGTCTGTGTCTCTCTCGATCGCTCTCTGATCTGCACACAACCTCCCACTAGTTTGAACTAGCTTCGAGGAAGATGCCTCTCTCTCTTTCTCTCTCACCTTCTCATCCTCATTTTCCCCCACCCACGCCCATTTTATACCCACACGCCAACTTTCTTTTCCTTACCCTCGATACCTAGGCTATGATAACTTAATTATTATTATGATTAATATTAGTATTATATATAAGAAAATGACAATTAGAGACCCTGTAAGGTTATTAATTATAATTAAGGACTCCAAACTATTGAAATCTCAATAATCAATGGCGGACGCAAAACCTAGGACCGATGGGGAATAAAATATAAAAATTATAATTAAAATATTATTAAAAATAATATAAATTTATATAACCCAAAAAATAATAATTTAAATTTAAATTTAATAGGGTATGAATTTAAGATCTGTTAGGCTTAAGTGGAATATTAAAAGCTTAACTTTTTTTAGAACTCAAATATGTTTTATTTTGAGTGAAGTGGGTTCAAAATTATTGGAGCAGTGGGTGCAAATTTTTAGAATTTACAACAAATACTTGTAAATTTCTCCAAGTTGGGTGGGGCCACCCTCAACTCTATGTATATCCCCACTGTCAATAATAGATTATAATTTTTACTTAAAATAAAAACGTGCATAAGTTTATAAAATTATCTTTAACTTTGAAAATAAAAAAATTATACTGCTAAAAATTACTATCATAGAATGTAAATATTTTTAATATCAATTAAAATATTAATGAATAAAAGTTTGGAATGAATTGTTTTCACAATATGAAACTAAAATTCACTTTTAAAACTTGTTAAGGGAATTTGTAAATATACAATAATCATTTAAAAAGTTATTAAAGTCACTTCTGAAAAATATTTTAGACTATATTCATACTTTTTTAATTTTAAGTAAGAATTATAGTCTATTATTAATATTTTAATAATTTATAGTCTCTAGTTGTTATTTTCCTTTATATTATCTTCAACGAGGGAATCATAACACACAATATTGGGAATTCATTTTTTATTACAATTTTTTTGTACTATTTATTCTATCTATTCTTTGCAAAAATAAATATTATACTATTCATATTGTTGTAGATTATTGTTCCTAAATTCACACGGAGTAATGATTCTCTTGAATAATATTATTGCCTTTCATTTTTTTATTACTAAAAAATATTCTCTTATTAGAAGTCGGCCCATCTTTCAATAAAAATTTAATTTAAACTTTAATTTACTACATTATGAACAATGAATTCTTTCAATCAAACCCAACTCGCCTACTAGTATTATGGCTTTTCATTTTATATTTACTATTATAAAATAGCCTTTTTATGTCACCTTTTAACATAAGTTATTTAAAAAACCGTAGTAAAAAAAGGCAATGGTAAAACTGTAATTATATGAAAAAGTTTTTACACCGATGCTTTAGAAAATCGACATAAAAACTACAACCCATGTTGGCTATTAAAAAAACCAACGTAGATTGTCAAAAAGTTTTTTCTTAAAAACATTGTCATATGTTTCCATATCAGTTGCTTCTACAACCGACGTGGTTTCATTTCAAATTCCTGATATTAAAATATGCATTTTTGATAATTCTTCCTTCAATTTCAATTTCCTTTTCATTTGATGCCCTCTCTCCCCGAACTTGAAACCAAAAAAGTTTCCTCCTTTGCCATCGTTGATGTTCGTTGCTCCGTCCACCATCATTGCTGTTGAGTCGCCATTCTGGGTTACATTGCCACCACTTTTTCACCATCTTTGTGCCGTTTTGCATGGTGTTGTTGTCCATTCGCATTTCACTTTTTAAGATCCATTTTTGTTCTCTTATTCTTCCTTCGTTCTTTTTCCATTGTTGATTTCTTTAGCATTTTTTGGGGGTGTTTTCTTCTTCATTCTTATTCTACTTCATTCTTGGTGCTATCTTTTATTCATATTTCACATTTAAAGTAACTTTTCTTTTTTAAAAAAATTCCTTAATTTCTGTACTTTAAAGTAGTTAGTAGTTGTAGATATGAAAATTTTTATTTTTGTTCTCACACAACATTAGGCGTGCTCAATTTAGAATAGTTGTTCGTTTTAATTATTTTGTGTTTCTTTCTTTTAAATTGTTATATGTTTGCAATTTGTTTAAGATTATATTATTTAAATTTTTATAATGTTTGGGAGTTTAATTTAAACTTCCTTCTTGTCAAGATTTAAATTGAATTTAATTGTTATTGAAATTTTGAGAGATCTTATTTTAAAGAAAAACTCTACCAAAAATTTTTCTAATCTTTATAATATTTATATAATTTATTCATGGCTTGAGAGTTGGATTTTAACGTTATTGTTGTTAATATTTAATTTGAATTCAATTGTTGTTGAAATCTACAAGTTTAAGTTTTGGATGTATAAAAAGATAAATAATTTTTTTAAGTTAGACTTTTAATAACGATTATATAAAAAACTAATGATAAAAAATTTTTAATATTGATTTTCTAAAAATAACCCTCATGAAAAGCTAGCTTTTCACATAATAACCGATATGAAAAATATACGTTCTATGTCAGTTAATTTAATAACAGACATGAAAAGTTTTTTTCACAATTGTTAAATAACCTATATAAAAAATTGACTTTTTACTTTGTTTCTTGTTACTTTTCCTTACTAACTGATGTAAAAGGTAAAAAGTAATCATTGTTAAAACTCCTTCCTGCAATAGTGATCATACATACATACATACATACATATATATATATATATGGTTTTTCTTATGGTTTAAATTAATATCCATTAATTACAAAGGAACGTGCCCACCTTTTCTTTTTTCACACGGCCTTTTATGTACCTCTTGTTCACCCACAGATCTTCGTTGTCCACAATCACACAGATAATTATATTTTTATTAAAAAAAAATAGGCTTAAAAAAAAAAAAAGGTTAACCCCAAACCTAGCCTTTACGTGCACACCCATGCAAACATATAAATATATAAATACTTGATTTGAACCCATGAATCCTAAGAAAAGGAAGATGGCATTATCACTAAGATAATTCAACTAGTCATTAGGACAACGTGAAAACAGTTTTTTTTTTTTGGTGGGGTAAAAAACAGGTTTAAGTTAACCAAGTATAATGATTCTCAAGAGTTTAAATATGAAAGTAAGACTACAGCTTGTAAAGTTCATAAAGAGAGCAACACTAATAGCATTTTCACGTTTTTACCACATAACAGGCGCTTGGTTTGATGAAAATGAAGCAAAAGGACAAACATGTCTCCTTTCCATCTTTAGAAACGCTTGGCTGAAAGTTTGAGTAGTGGGCATTTCTTGAGGGACATTTGTTCCATTTCATGAGTAGGAGATATTCTTTGACAATTATATATATCAGTAAAAAAAAAATTTAAATATACTTTAAAATTTTAATTTTTAAAAAGCACAAATATAAAGTTTTAAAAATATCCTTCATTTAATTAATATAATCTTACTTGTGAAACATTAAATATAGAGAAAATATAATAAGAAAAAATAGTAATAATTTTAGAATAGGTATAATTAATAAACATTTATTTTTATCAAACACCTTATATATTGAGACACTAAATCATTTCTACAAATATTTTATAAACTTATATGGAGGGAGTATTCGTTTTCCCTATGTTTTTTTTTAAATTTTCATTTAGTAGTGAACCAAACAGACTCCCAATATTTTCTTTCTTTTCTCTTTGATCATTAAAAAACTCTGTAGTTCTGGCCAAAAAAAAAAAAAAACTTTGTAGTTAAGAACGCTGTAAAACATGTCACAAGTTCCGAAGGGAATCATAGTTACATTGTATAATTAGTTATACTAAAAGAAAAGTTAGCTTTCCCACTGTCCGCATATCACTAAGTTTTGTCTGGCCAACAAGGATAAGTTATATTCTTAATCATCTGCCGTTCTCTTCACTTTGATAATTATTACTATAATATATTATCTATTGAGATTTGTATGTATTATTATATAGGATAAAGGTAAACTTTTATTTTAAAATATTTTTTGAGAAGCACTCAATACTTTAATACTTTTTTTAAAGCAATTTTATTCTTAATGTTATTAAAATAAAATATTTTTATCATTTTCCTCTAAATTTTTGTTTGAGATCAACATTAAAAGTTTAACGAAAAAGATAAAAATGTTTCATTTTGATAACATTAAGAATAAAATTACTCTAACAAAAAATTTTTTGTATTGAGTGCTCTTGAAAAAATATTTTAAAAATAAAAATACACATTTACCCTATTATATATGATATATTCATTATTTAGATTTATTTTGTTGAGAAATTAAATTTTAAAAATATTTTATATTTATTAGTCTAATAATTATTAAATTAAAATAATTTATATATTGTAAGTTTTTTATGTTAATAGTGTATGTTACTTTTTCATGTCTTTTCCTCCCATCTCCTAACTTCTTTCAATAGCAAATCATATCAAATCAAAGCATGTGATACTAAAGTTGATCTCAGGTCATTTCAATCACACACCCATAAGCTATTATTATTATAAAAAACAATTAAAGAATATGCTAATACTTATATAAAATTGTCTTCTTTTTTCCCATCCACCTTTATTCCTGAATCCATCCACAACTGTTGTCATCCTTAACTCATTTCTCCATTCATTGTTTCAAAATTATGTATGATTATTGAATTGCGACTGAAATCCCATCCACCAATAGTGTTCGCCACCACTATTTATTGGCATGTTGGCTATAAAAAGATTATAAAAAATTGGTAAAATGGATTTAGAATACTAGTTCATTATAAGGTTAATATATAACTTGAGCCCTAAATTATAAATTCAATAATGACTTAAACTCTATATTCCTAATTGATATATTTTGGATATTGAATAATTAAATGTGAGACATTTTTGCCTCCATTGTTAATTTGGTCTTAAAGCTTGCTAATAAAATCCTCACTTTTTAGGTTTTACTAAAGGTTAAATAATAATTTGAATCTTAAACTATATATTCAAGAGTAATTTAAATATTCAACTTATATTTGGTATATGTTAAACCTAAATAATTAAATTTAAAATAATTTAACCTTCACTGTTAAA